TCTTTAGCTTAATCCAAGCAATTTCTGTTTTGATGGGCCAATATTGTTGTTGCATCATTGCTTTTACGCTCGCTGCTTTGGTTCATAATCGGGAAAAATTTAGCTTTTTTAAATGTTGCAGATTGTTGCACAATAATCACACAAACAAAAAAAAAACATAGAGAGACGTTGCGCGAGCGAAGAGAGTTCAACAGCAACAACATCTGCAGTCAGCGGCAAGTAATCTCGAAAGTTGCAAGACTTATGTATTTCGCACAAAAGGCCAATTTGAAGAATTTATAAGGTGTTTTCTTTGCCATTTACTTTAACCTACACTACCAGCGCGAGTAGTTAGATAAACTCCCAACCAGCCTAGCCCAACCAAGCTGCCAACCTTCGAATCATTCACTCACTCAACTAAGCATTTATCCACTCTACCACATTTTGCACAAAACGTTATACAATGAATGTGGCACTTACGCACTCTCTCATAAAAGCGCAACAAAAAGCCATTCAGTCATCCACGAGACACTGAAGCTTCATTCATTCATTCATTCATTTATTTAAAGATTCACCTTTCGCTTGCCGCACATTCAGCGCGAATCTCATACAGATCGAGCCTTTTCATGGGAGCTTAAAAAATATTATTTCAAGTACTTATCCTTTGTATAACCATACAAGTGCAAAAGTATTGCCATAATCACAATTCAGCAAGTTGTAAGCACTTATTCAGCGGCTACATTATAGCTGATTAATTTCAGTCAATTGCTGATTTGTATGAATTAGTACTTCGGAAGGTCTATTCGTGGTTAAAATGTGGTGTGGTGGCGGCTTAAATAGGAAGCCAATAAACATTTAGCTTTATTAAGCACTGCAAACCAGTCTAGAGCCAATAAAAAAGGAAAAGAACAGGCTACAAAAAAACTTATATACACTTTGATTTTTGCGTTTAGTTGGTGTGGTGGATTTTCATTTAGTAAAAACAGCTTTTCACTAGGCAAATGAGCATTGGTTGGATTCAAATATATATTTATATACCTAAAAATGGGAGCCTATAGCTATTTGTTCTTCGCGAAAGTCTGCTAGGCAACATTAGGAATAATTTCTAGAACTATTCGTTTCAAGCACTAAACGTTCAATAATTCCATTGAAAATGTTTTGCCTTTTCAAATCCTATCGTAATGGTAGAACCATCTGCTTTGCCTGATGAATTTACCTACTTCGCTTATAGTAGCTCCAGGAAGGTATTTCAGTTGTACTACGACTACTTAACATTCGCCTAGGCATTCACACCTGCTGGACTCTTTCTTCGTGATCTTCTCGCTTACAGCTGCGGCAGTTTCTATTATAGGTAAGACCTAGTCTTGCCTAGGGCCAATGCGCCTTGTTGGTTACTACTGTTGTTGCTTAGTTTTTCTATCCAACAGAGGCTACACATTTGTAAATTTTGGGAGTTATAGAGTTGGGCTGTCTAAAAATTTTGATCGAAAATGAGTTGGAAAGATTTTAATAATCATCACATGGCTGAAGAATCCTGACTGGTTTAGACCACCCTCAAAAACCGATGATGACATAAAACCACCTGATGACTGACCGTGATGCATGGAAAGAATTGTGGACGAAGTGAAAGCTCACCCCTAGTTATAATTCCTTTCTTAAGATGATGACCAGTTTCTGCTGAATATTCTCTTGAAAGTGTAGTAGGCTACGTCTTGTGCCGAGATAATTTGCGCTCGAATTTTTATATTAGAACCGCCATTTCATGTGAAAATGATTCAGTTGATCTTTCATTTATGTATGCACGTTGTGCTGTTAAAAGTGTCGCTTCGTGCCCGCGCCGTTAATTCAAAAATGTGTTAAATTCGTAACCATCCGTTGGTGCCTTATTAATTGGTTTGGCCCCTCGTAAATTCATATATTTTTCAATTCAAGTTATTTTCAACTTCGTAAATCATTTCTGACAACATCTTTGAATTTCGAAAACTTAAATCATAGTCGTAAGACGTTTACGTTTACCGTCAATATATTCGGTCAGGTTCTGCAATTCACTTCCGAGTGAATTTGATTCAAGTTCGTTTTGAATTCAAATGGGCAGGGGTTGAGATTCACTCGGAAGTGAATTCCAGAACCTGACCGAATATCTTCTTTTTTTTTTTTGAAACCTCTTATGTATTTTTTCCGGGACAGGTAAAATCCAAATTTCGCTAATAGGAAAGCCTCATTGTTCTGTAAAATATTTAAGAATTATCGGGATTCCACTGTACTTTTACCTTTCTCCAGCTTCTTGGAGCTTAACTTTCATTGAGAGTGGTCTTAAAACTATTCTCTAGTAATGCTGCTATGTTCGTCTTCCCTTCCTGAAGCATTGCTGGGATTATACACCTAGTCCTAGTATTCCAGGCACGATCGAACCTGACGTAATTGAATTCCTATACATATCGAGGAAATAAATTTGATAAATAATTTTTCGAAATTCAATTCAGCAAATCAAATTTCTGCTTAAAAACTTTCTAATTAAATTCAACTAGCTACAATTATTCAACTAAACCTCTAGTCACATTCTGAGCAATCCAGTAACAAATTTTTCTCAAAAATTATATCAGCTATACTCTTTAGCCAATTTATACATTTTTTGAGCGCAAATTACAATGCAGCTAAAAACCATGGCATAGACCATTTTATACAAATTATCTTTACATGTTGTAAAAAGCTAACGGTTTTACTTATTCAAAAAACCAATGGAATTTTTCTCAGTATTTTAAACGCATTTTTATTCGTATTTTCGCAATAAAGTAAAAATTTACAAGGTTTTATCCGCATCAAATATTTCATAAATGGATCTATGTATATTTGAAATCTTAATGTATACCTGGTGGTGCATGCATCGCAACCAAACAAAATGGTACAAAATTTTCTGAGTACACCCGACTGAAAGTGTTAAAACATGGATATTAGCACCGAATATTTCTAATAGCAGCAATGAATTTGCAACTTTACAGCCAGCAGCTGTTATAGCAACAAATTTCTAAATGTAAACTCGTTTAGAAACATGTACATTAGGGCGGTCAACATTTTTTCCCCCAGATACCCCCGGAACTAAAGAATATCGAAAATAAGGAGACCTGTTTTTTTTACTTTGAAATCGGTTAATATTGTGGCCGAAGTTTAGAAGATCCATATGTTTTTTCCTAGAAGTTTTTCTCTGCACTGTCTGGATCAATGATCTCGTTCGATGGTGAATCTGTATATCATAGTTGGAGGCAAGTTCAAAATGGGTGAGTATCGTTGGTCCAAATAAATCCAGTATAGTAATAGCTTTATTTGCGATGAAATCCTTTAACTATCTAATCATTGCATTTGTGGGCATTCATCAAGAATTGTCCCTATTCTGGTAATTCTCCATACAGCAATGAGCTCAGGGGTTCTGATGGTTGTTTAGTGGTAGTAATTTTAAAGTTTTACGTATTGTAAATTTGGCAAATTACATCAACTGGACCAATCGTAACACACGAAAGTTCGATATACTCAATGGCGCGGCATGTCGAAGTAGTTGAGCATTCACGGCACTTCTTCTCACTTTACGATGCACATCGGCATTCCACTTTTGTTTCAGCTGTTAACGAGCTAGTTTCTCCTAAGCTCATCCTGCATGAATTTTCAACGCATGCACTCAAAGCTGTTCATTAACTTGGGCGCATTTTGATTTGCACTGCTAATCGCCAATCTTTGTAAATTGGGGTTGCGTGAGCCAATGTTTCATATTCTGATGGTGAATGGTTGGCGAACACTGAAAGTACGCGGGTGACATCCCTATTAAAAAGTTTTTATTTTTTACCTCAACCGGTGAAGTTGTCTTTCAAAATGGTGGTCATTCAATTTAATGGAGTGTTATGGAACACATGGTGCTTTATTGACCAGATACAGTGCTTTCAGCTGGTTAAAGCCCCTGTTTTTAAATAAATAACTAATAATAAATGTACGTGAGCTTCTCTCCTTCAAAATGATATGCCACTCATTAAATTTGATAAAATATTAAAGGAGACATCGTTTGGTAACAGAAAGATACCTTTTAGAAATAAGTATATAGATATGGAAAACACCAAGCCACGGCGCACGGTTATATATTGACCGAAAATAAAGATATAAGGACCCCTTATTTGCAACTTTCTATAATTTTGGGTGATAGATATTTCTGTTTATTTTCGACCAACCTAATGTACACATGTATGCACTCTGTATCTCTGTACATTTTCACTTCACCACTCTTACTTACATAAATATGTGTGTAACTATGTAAATGTAAATATATTTGGAACAGCCAACACCCGAATGCAGATGCATTCGTTTAGAAAACCTTGTTTACATAAAATCGTAATGTTGGCTAGGCGGTTACAAAAATAGTTTGCAGGCTCTTTTGAAAGAAAGTACTGGCAAATTTCTGCATGAAGATGAAGGCGTATGCGAGAACATACGAGGACGCAGCACAATCAAATGCAACTTAAAATTAGCTTAAACGATTTATTCTGTTTTCAGACAAAAATTAATTGAGTCAATTAAGTTTTTAATTAAGTATTAGATTTTTGTGTTTCACACACAATCAGCTGCTCGATTAACGAGTGGCTGTCAGCTGTCTTAAAAGAATTTTTGTTTATTTAAAATAAATTGGTAAAATGGAAAACAATAAGTGTTTAAGCGAACTTTTTCTTGCGTATACTGCAAATATACAAGTTTTGCAGTCAGTGCTGGCAAGCTACGCAAGTTCAATGGCCTTATATAAAAAAAGAAAAGAAAAAAAACTTCATAATTTTGCAACATTTGCGAAGACAGCAGCTATTGCTTTACGGGTTACTGCAGAGGAACGCTACTCAGAGATCCCTCTGGAAATTGGTAAATCAGATTATAAGTAATCAGTTCTTGTCCTTTTATAAATGATACTTCCTCTATTACAGAATCGGCAGTCTTCTTTCTGGGAAGTTAATTGCAATTGCAACGATGACCATTTCTTTAAGACGCACTTCCGCATGAACCGCACTAGTTTTGAAACACTCTGTGGCTTCCTTAAAAACCTGCACAAAGCCGACACAAACTGGCGCAACGCGATTCCATTGCAAAAACGCGTTGCGATAGCTCTATTTACGCTGGGATCGTCTGGAGAGTACAGAGTGGTTTCCGAACTATTTGGTGTTGGAATATCGACCGTGTGCACAATCTTGTGGGAGTTTTGCGAGGAAGTCTGGCAAGCTTTGTCAGCGCAATACATAAAGAAATTACCACCGACTCCACAAACTTTAAAAGACTGTGTTGATGGTTTTGACCGTCTCGGCTTTCCCCAATGCCTTGGAGCAATTGGTAAGAAAGTTAAAAATGCAACTAATTTATATAAAAACAAAGATATACGTGCATACATATATATTCAGATGGGTGCCACATCGAAGTTAGGCCGAATCCAGCCGATGCAACCGACTACCACAACTATAAAGGATGGTATTCCATTGTTCTACTAGCTGTAGTGGATTACAGGTTATTTAACTTTCATCCTGTTGTTTTTTTTCTAAAAAGCATGTATTAATTATTTCTATATATGTTCAGATATCGGTTTTTATATGTGAACATTGGTGCTCCTGGACGATGCAATGACTCGCAGATATATAATGCATCGTTAATGAAGCGAGTAATGGAGGAGAACGAATTACTGAAGGTCAGTAAGAAAGAAATAGATGGAGTACAAATGCCTATATGCATTATTGGAGATTCTGCGTTTCGGTTTTCCACCTCCTTAATGAAGCCGTACGCGTTTTCAATGGCCTTAACTGAAACACAAAAACTCTATAATTATAAGCTTTCAAAGTGCAGAAGAGTAGTTGAGAATGCATTTGGCCACTTGAAAGGACGATTCCGTCGTGTTGGAAAAGGTTTAGACAACCGAATTGGGAAGGCACCCATCATTATTAGAGCCTGCTGCGTCTTGCACAATTATTTAAATGAAATGAACGACACTATAAATGACATGTGGTTGGAGAGATTGCAAGAAGTGAACAGAAATCTCGAAAATCCTGAATATGTCACGATAGTTGGAGACAATCAACCCTCAGCTGAAGAAATAAGGCAAGGATTATGCAATTATTTTAGTGAGTACAATTTTTATTTGTTAATTTAATTCATTTACATTTTTTTTTTCGAGCTAAATTTCTTTTGTTATTTATCTATAAAAATACCGTCCACTGTATATACTTTTTGTGAGTCATATGAAAAAAAGTGATTTCTCCGTTTTTCGAAGTTAGCCTCCGAAATCGAGATATGGGCCTTCGAAGTTTGAAATAGGACCTTTGGTAAAAAATTATATTAAATTATTGCATGTATGTAAATAACTAAAAACCTAAAAATATAGGCGTAGTCCTCCTTTTATTTAAATGTTAAATCAATTTTTTTGTGCAGACCTATATTACCTATATAAGGGGTCAAAGTTCAGGTCTTCGAAAAATTAATTTCCTTATATTGCAAACAATTTATATTGTTGTAAAGGCGATTAAATCCCCTTTCTTCTGATATGCATATTTGTATACTTTATACTAAAAAATTTGAGAAAAGTCACATTTAAAGGAAATAAGAACTTTTTTTATAAAAAAGTATTTTGAACAAAAAAATTACTAACCGATTTTTAGAAATATGCATATCAGAAGAAAGGGGATTTAATCACCTTTACAACGACGCCAATTTTTAAAAAATCGGTTAGTCATATTTTTGTTTAAAATATTTTTTTTTTATAAAAAAAGGTATTTTTTCATTTAAATGTGTTTTTTCTAAAAATTTTATATACGAAGTATACAAATATGCATATCGAAAGAAAGCGGATTTAATAACTTTTACAACGATGTGAATCCTTTTAAAATCGGTTCAAAATTGTCTGAAATATTAAGTTTTTCATTTTTCGAACGTCTGACTTTGACCCGTTATAGCACCTGTAATATATAATAAAACGGATGAAACGGAATATATAATAAAACGGAGAACTAACTTTTTTTTACCTATGGCTCAATCTCTTTAAAAAAGTTGGTTTGGTCCAATACCCAGCCGAGTGCTGTACAGTGTTATTAATTTCTATTTAAAAATGATAAAATGCCAACTTTTAATTCTTTGTTATCATTCGCTATCTCCCTCAGTGTGTCAGCTTTGTCTTTCTCTATCTTCATCCACTCTTTTTCATTTTCCTCACTCCTCTGTATATGTTGGCTTATCTCCGCTGACAACCCATCAAATTTATCTAATACTTTCTTTTGTAAAGTGCCGATTACTTTCCTTCTTTTAGGCTCAACCGCAGAAGCTGAGCTGCTAGGCATTGGTGACGACGGCGATGATAGCGGCGGTGACGGTGTGGGGAGCGGTGTGGTTGGCAGAGGAGTGAGAGGTGATGACAGCGGCGGTGACGGTGTAGGCAGCGGTGTGGTTGGCACAGCAGGAAGAGGTGATGCCAGTGGTGAGGAAAATGTTGGGCTGAGTGATGACGGCAATATTGGGGTCAGTGGTGATGGCTGGGATGCTATATCGGATTCTGTTTAAAAGAAAAAAAAAAACAAATAAGAATGAAATAAAAAAAATCAGCATTAAATAAATACATATGTTCATATGTGCTTGTATCGAAGTTAAAAAGATAGGGTACGGTCAGCGTTGGCACTTTGCTACGATCGTAGTAAATAATAATTTGCGGATCCATGAGGTGCCAACCCTGGGTACGGTTTAGTTATTTGTATCTACTTAAGTTTTAGCGGAACATTTGTTTTGAAGCACCACCGTATGTCTGTGCTCGTGCAAAATCGAAGTGTACCTTCGCACTTAAACCTGCAACTAAACGAGCTGATAGTTCTAGCATGTACACAGACGCGTCACTCTGCTACAAAACAAATATCTCCACTAAACACATTACGGCTTTTAGTAAGGCACATTCCAAAAACGCATACATACCGCTGATGTTTTCAAGCGTCAGCTCGCAAAACATATTGGCCTTAAATCCACCGATTATCTGGTGCACCCTTGCGTATAAAGGCCACGTTGAGGGTGATCCACCAGAAGGTCCCATAGCCAATTTCTCTTTTCTATTAACGAATTAAATTTTTAGTGGTTTTGAATATTATTCCTTTATTTCTTCGTACCTGTAGCGTTGCGTGAAGTTCGCCAACTTCACCTGCACATCCCGGGCGCTGTAGTTGTGGCCCAACTTTGCCAGCTCGTTCGCCATCTCCGCGTAGATGTGGCCATTCTTCCGTGCACCGCGGAGATCAGCAACGCGCTCTTCCCACAAATCAAGAATGGCCACTTCGCCATCCTCAGCCCAAGCCAGTCTCCTCTTTCTTGGTTTTGGAGCTAATCGAACTGAAATACATACATATGTGTTTTTAATAAACATTACACATAACCATTTGTGTTTATTTACTCACCATTCAGATTGTTCTGCATCCTGCAGTTGAAATACAATTTTTTTGGTTTTTGATGTTTGCTGGTTCCAAAAAGAAAATAATAAAATTATGTCAAACAGCTGATTGTCATTTAACACTGAACACACCAAAACTAAGAAAACGAACTTACCTAACAGAGTTGCATTGGAGTTTTTACTAGATTAAACATTCAATTAATTACCAATCGAGCAATTAATAATTGAAATTTTGTATGGCAAATCGATCTTAATTAGTGCATTAATTGAGAAAACTTGGATAATTGCTCGATTAACTGCCTGTCTGAAAATAGTATTAGGCAGGGATACCACGCTGCTAGAGTTGCGTGCGCCAAGAAATTAAACAAGTTTCTTAATTCTAATTAGTAAAATAAGTGTAAAATAAAATGCTCAAGCTTGATGTTGAAATAGAATGGAATAAAACCACTTATGTGTGAGGTATCGACGAAAATCTGTTTTTATTTGAAAAGTCCACGTATTCCACTATGTGGGTAATATAACGTCGTTTAAATGTCAGCCAAGGCTTCTAATGGTTGAACGGATCCGTGTGGTTCAATTTTCAATCACTCTGCCGCAAAGATCTGGCGGAATTTTGTGGTGCCATGATGATTTTGCTCATTGATTGAAAAGTAAATTAAAGTTAAGTCTTGTATGCAGCCCACAATTCTCTTCAACTGTATAATAAGTTATGCTCGATAAGGACATCCTGTGGTTGTTATCGTGCCATAGGGATTTTAGTGACAACGCAAGATCGCAAAACCTACGGTCCAATTGTGTATATATGGCTAAGAGTCTTTCTATGATCAAAAAGCAGAGCTTAGTTTTAGGTTGGAGAATACTGAACTTGCCTCCAAATGGCGAATGGCAAAGAGAGTCTATCCAAGAGATCCATAACTCGTTGTATAGAAGTTTCTATCCAACCACCGAATCTCAACTGGGTTATCCTAGAAATTTTTGAAATAGGACAACTTCTTATCCTGCCTTTTTCAAGTTGGATATGGAAGCAAAGCGAAAGGATCCGCAGGTGCCCAAAGACAAGACCAAGTATCTCCTGTTCATTTTACTTAACCCCCACCAGGAATTTCTACGACTTAGTTACCGCGAGAGGAATAACCCGGAAAAAACTGAAAGCCACATTTCATATTTAGCTGTTGCCAACAAGGCTGTCAGGGATATCCGCCAAATTGACGTGTTGGTGGTGGTTGTTGTTGTAAAAGCATATAAATTCTGGGTCGTTCCGGTTACGTAGGCCCGACAGTCGCGGGAACGCTGACGTTTTGATTAATCAATATAGTGATAAAATCGATTATTATGTATTCAGCACTTGCCTGGGGGCCAAAAGTCCAGCATAGATCGGTCTGTTTAGCCATTACAGAAGCCATGATCATCTGCGTAATGAAAGTGCTGGGAAATCACCGCGGGTCTACCATCTCTAGCAATACTAACTTTTAATGAGGATTCCTGGAGCGCTTTGCTACTCAGGAACTCAGTGAGTATAAGAAGTGGAGACCTTCACGGACGATTGATGGACTTAAAAGGATTATTTGAGGTTCCCATCAATAAGCTAACAGACAAAATGCCACAAAATCATCCTTCAACCTGGACTCTTCCAAAACTTCTAGGTTAGCGGACAACTACAAAACTCTATTAAATCAATTAAGCATGCATAACTGGGTCAACCTTTGGTGGGTACTAGGACATGAGGGTTTTGATGATCCGTGAAAAGGCTACGCAGCAGAGCTTCTAAGGGGAAAAATCAGTCCAAGAAATTTATAACATTCTTTAGAGGACTCTCGGAACACTTTATGAGTTTTCGTCGAGAGGGCCTGAGGGCTTTCAGAGGCTACCTGACAGGAGGGAAGGAGGTTATGGCCTCCAACTAGAAGAAAAAAAGATGTGGGTGGCTCATTGAATCATTTTAATGGACAAGTAAACCGACCACTGATCTAAAGGATTCTTTTCTTGAAATGAAAATTCGAATCGATTACAGTTGGCCAGTTGAATTTAAAAAAATTTGGCAACTCTAATCAAGCAGAGTGCAAAGGAAACGCCAAAATCTAGCCTATTACTAACAATAAATGAAAACCAAATCGATTCGCTAGCAATGCACAAAACGATTATGAACAAATGTTTGTGATTTGATTTAGATGTCTGTACGGAAACACACGGCTACTACTACTGCTACTACCACTATAAACTATAGCCTATTTACAAGCGTATGTATGTATGTATTCAGTTGTTATGCATGGCTAATACCTGTCGAATGGTATCAACACCTCCAGCAGTCACCGGTAACCACACACAAACACACACACACGCACACACAGAGCTACAACAGAACAAACCAACCGAGCATTTGTTATTGTAGCTATTGCCATTGAAAAATCTCCAGTGGTTACACAAATGAATGCAGCA